CTTAAAGAACAGTGAACCGTTTCAGTCTCATACAATGGACATGCATGTCAACTCCAAGTGCTTGTTGCAACTGATTGTCGTTCTAACCTTCTCGGTATGAACTGATTTGAACCGTTAGGAATTAAATTGTGTGGTGTCAATTTTGTTTCTTGTGATAATATTACAACGGTCATTGAGGATTTCCCACAAGTATTCGATGGCAAACTGGGCAAATACAGAGGTCCGCCTGTATCGTTACCTGTGGACCAACACACCCACCAATTCGAATGAAAGCACGTCCAGTTCCACTCGCTCTCTGTCCAATAATTGAAGAAACAATTGATGCTCCATTGAGAGATGTCTTTGAATCTGTAGAAAATCAAACGTGGACTACACCAGATGTGCCTGTTATGAAATCATCTAGTGAAATAAGACTTTGTGGTGATTATAAAGTAACCTTGTTAAGTTCTGAGTTTGCATTCACAGAATGGAAAAAAAATCACCTGTGGCTTTTGCATCTCGCACACTAACAAAGACTGAACGTTGTTAAACACACATCAATAAGGAAGCTCTTGCTGTTGAGTATGGAGTAAAACGTTTTCATCATTTCATTTTTGAAACAAATTTTCTATTTATACAGACCACAAACCACTTTTGAGACTATATACAACTGATAAGCCAACACTATTAATCTTTTCAGTTTTTTTTTTTCTCAATTCATGGAAATGTGAGATTCTAGCCTGGGGTACAGGGTAGTTTATTACTCCTGTATCACTTAGTAGGCATCTGTTCCGTGAGAACAGTTCTCTTTTCGTCAACAAGAATGGCTTTTCCCAATTTAAGGAAATTCAAGTGCGGAGGGACTTACAGTTTAATATTTAATTTAAAGCGGAAATTGGTGATGGCGAATTCACCTTTCTCCTCACGTCAGGATTCCTTTGACACCAGTTAATCAGTTTTATATCACGCGGATTAACACGCGTGTGGTTTGATTCAGACAAAGATGAGACATTTCTTTAAACAAATAATAAAAGATTTAATAAAATAAAGGTAAATAAAATTACACAAATGGAATAGATCAAAATATAATTAAACGAATGAGACAATGGATTACTTAAAATATACGCTTCGAGAGAGAGAGCTCACAAATTTACTTATAATCATACTACCTCAAGGAATAACTTTATCTTTATCTTCTTCTGTATTAGAGGATTTATACGTCCTTTCATGGAGGGGTCCTGAATTGGCACAAGATTATAAATTTTCTTCCTTTCTATTATATTAACTCATTATTATAGTTGACTGGATACGACTAAGGGCGTTGGTCTTATGGAGCAAATATGGACTACGTCTTTCCCTCGTGGGATCCTCTAGCGTACTCCTAAGGGCTTGGCCTTAGGAAGACAATATGGGATACCTCCTTTCCCTATGAGATCTTTGACTATATCTCATGATTTGTGACCAATCAGCTGATTTGTCTTCACTCACGTGAACGGATGAAAAGGGGAATTATTGAGGGGTCGACAATTCCCAGTGTGTGAGATTTGTGATACATAAGTGGAAAAACAAAGGATGCTCCAACTTCCGTTAAAGGAAGTGGCTCTTTTATCAGTTTTCCCACGTTAGAAAAACGATAATTTCACACCAAAAGGAAAGAATATTTTATTTCATAAATTTAATTTTATATTTAAATTGTTATCTAGACCCAGGGCTATTCGGATCTCACAGAAACATGTGATTGTATCTTTCTCCGGATTCACTTCCTTTCAAAAGTGACACATCTTCCGAATGTGTCACCAGGAACCAAACCAAAATTCGTCTATTGGACGTAGAACTTAACGTTACCGAAGCTGGTCATGAGAAGAAAAGTGGCGGACTCCCAAATAAAAGCGAGAAATCGATGACAACAAGGCAGTTCGCCATCTCCAGAGTTCATCGCTCATCTTTTCTCTTCCGGAACGCGGATACATCGTCCATCCTGCCGATTACCGTCTAGACTCTAGACCGACCGCCTTAGATCAAACATCCAACTACCTGAATTTGCATCCTATCAACCGATCATCAAATGTCTAGACTCTAGACCGACCGCCTTAGATCAAACATCCAACTACCTGAATTTGCATCCTATCAACGGATCATCAAATTCGCATTGATGTTCTGGACGTTCAAGATACCTGACGTTCTACGGACCAGACGTCCTCCGAACTAGCTATTCGCCGGATATCCACGACGTCGACCTCTTCAACAAAGAAGGAACCGACCTCCTCGGCTTCTTAAATAGTCAAGGTATTTATCAGCACGCGATCGAACGTAAACTCTCTCTCTCGCGGTTAGTGATCTACTACGATAATCCTAATAACACTATTGTGAGATCCAGGATTTAAAGGATATTAAAATCCATTTTTAAGAAAATTTTTGTATAACATTCGTTACGATCGTTCGAAAAAACATCGCACAAGATACGAATCGATTGACGTTCTTTGTAAACAAATGGACGAGAAAAATTTAACAATCAGTTGCAAAATGATAACATTCGATTGTGAAAGGAGAGTAAAGTTAGCTACACCGTTACGTCAACGGAAGTCATCGTTGAACTAACACCTGCAAAAGCAACTTTCTTTTTCAAACAATTGTCGATGCCGATCATGATCAGTTTCCTAGGCTAAGTGAATAAAAGGACGAAACACCGAGAGTTCCGGGCGTTTGTCATAAGGTAGCCCCATAGAGGCTACATTAGTGCAAAAGGAAGAGCAAGAAGGAGCTCTATATGCCACTACCTCCATAAAATAGACCTAATCCAGTCCCCAGAGAAGACACTCGCCATTCCCTCGACAGAGAATCCTCGTTAAGATCATACAACGACGTCATATCAACGATCAAAAAAGATTTCAGGTATTTCGGATAGATAAGTGTAAAATCTCTCTACATAGCATATCTACGCCTATAATTATACAAAATAAAATGAACTCAAAATTTCATAAGACATCTGGAAATAAAATATAGTATCATACTTATCCATGACGCGCTTGTCAAATTTCTACTTCCAAGCTATCTTAACGACTAAGTTCTGCTACTCGAGAGCGTTTACATTGGGTCGCGTGTGGATAAATACCTTCAAAGTTGAACGATGTCTTCAATGATGACTATTTCCTTCAGTTCTGTCCGGAACGAGAGCGATCCTTCCTAACTTCAGAGTTCGAAGTTATTCTTCTCTATTTCCTCCTGGACGGTGGTCGAAGGGCGAATTCCATAAACGGCTGAATTAGTGGACGAAATAGACAAGCGAACCGCTAGTCTTTCTCTTGAAGCGACGGAACTGGACGATCTTAATGACCTTTTGGAAGTCCTTTTATAATTTTTTGTTTGTATTCTTGAGTCAGAACACTTCCAAAATTATCGAGCTAATTATCGAACTTTCCATTCGATGTAATATCGAATGGAAAGATTATTAACAACCAAGCCAAAAATTTTCTCTTGTTCTCGTGGGTGACAGGAAACATCGTTGTCAGAAAGGAAGTGTTATCTTGCTACTTCCTTTTCGATTTTTCTGGTAAAATCTCGCTATTGTGAACTTTTATTTAACTTTTAAAATTAATGAAATTTAACAAAATTTATTTTAAGTAAATTGTAAAAATTTTCCGGGTCGTTCAGCCCTTGTCAATAGTCGAGTTTCCACGAACTGAAGCCTGGGACCTCGCATATTTGTACACGTCTAAGGTCCTTAAAAGTTTTGCCACTCTATCAAAAGCCTAAGTTGTTTACTCCTAAAACTACCACTGATTTTATAGATAGTTTCCTTCCGTTGTATATCTAATATATGAAAAATGTTAATTTCAATTTAAAAAACCCAATTTAAATGTTTAATTTAATATTAAAGACTAAATATTAAAACAAATCAAGACTAAATAAAAATTTTATTATTTAGATATTGTTTGAGTAACAGAAAAAATGGACTATATATTATGAATTTTAAATATAAGATTTCCCTTGTTTATATTTTTCAATTTTAATAAGATCATTTCATCTCCAGATTGTTTCTGCTAATTTTTTTTTTTTTCAAATTGTGCTTCAAATCCAAAATCCAAATTATTTTTCTGGAGATTTTAAAAAATTGCCCCAAGTTTATTTTGGATAATTTCTTTTTCCAGGATCTTTGCATTCATCCTTTTTGTCTTCACATCTATCTCTTTCACAAGCTATATCATTATCCGATTTTCTAAGTTGAGAATAGACGCGTTTTTGTGCTTCTTCGCATTCATTTTTATCATCTGTACAGATGTTTTCTTCGCAGAAATAATCCGCTGTGGTACTTGAATCACAAAATTCATCACATTTTGTTTTAATTGGTTTGGGGCATTCTTCGTTTCCATATGACATAAAATGTGCATCCTGCTGTTCTTTACTTTCTCTTTTGTACTCTTCGCATTCCTGTTTACATTCAGCTTGCTGTGTTTTGCATTCCTCTTCGCGTTCTTTTTTGCATTCTTCCTTTTCTTTACCACTATCTGAATTTTGTGCCATATTATTTCCTTCTTTTTCCTGATTTATTGCTTTCCAAAGAAACATTTTACTTGATGCGATGAAAATTTCTGCTGAATGTTATGCAAAAAGGACGAATAATGATATTATTAACAAAGAAGGAAATATTTATTGTTGCTAGTATATTTGTTTACAAGTCGATATTTATAATTAGTCAATATTATAAAAACTTTTAAATTTTTTTATTATCGTAATAAAAATTTCAATGCCATAAACCATATTTCTATATAACTTCAACTAGGTACAAAAGCACTTGTTATAAATAATTTCAATATACTTTTCTACTTTTTTTTTAATTAAAAATAAAAGATGGATATCGATTTAAAATAAGACTAAAATTTTTTAGACTTAATTTTAATCTTCATATTAAAGAGTTTAAAAAATTCTTTAATTGAAAAAANATTATTAAAAAATAAATTATATAAATTTTTCCTACAATATTTTATAAATAATATAAAATCAATATAATAGAGCATGAAATTATTATTCAAATCTATTATTAACAGTTTAACAATTAAGCGTTTTAAATATCTGTTAATTACTAATTAGTGATTTTTATTAGATCAAAATTTGCTTATTTTAAGAATGGATTTGAAAAAGTTATATTGTGATGAAAGTTCAGCAGATGTAATTATAGTCATCCGTACTTCAACCTGTAAGAGAATATATACTGCTCATAGCATTGTCCTTTGCAATTGTAGCAGTGTTTTCAAGCAATTAATGAAAGAGAAAAAGAAAGAAATAGAAATATCTGACGCTCGTCCATCTACAGTTGCTCAATTATTAAGGTATTTAGTTATTTACAGTTTATAAAACAAAACTGTAAAAAATAAGTTATAATTTGCATAAAGTAATTTTTAAATACTTAAACAATACAATAAACAATTTTGTTTATTTGTACGGGCGTTTATTGAAAATTATTTATTGTACGGGCGTTGCAGATTTATATAATTATCATTAATTGGAATCATTAATAAATGAAAAATATTTTACATATAATGAAAAGATTTCCTTTCATACATAAATTGAAAATTTAAGAGCAGTGTTCATTATTAATGAGAAGAAATTACCAATATTTTGTTTTTTAATAAACATTATGAATTGTATACTTTAATATATTTTCAAAATTTTTCTAATAGACTGTATTTTTATATTTTATAGATTTATATACTTGGGCAAAGTGACCATTCGTGATTGGGAACAAGCATTGGATTTATTAAACCAAGCTGATAAATTCCATTTGGTGGAGTTAATTGATAAATGTCGATTATTCTTAAAAAAGAATATAAATGTAAATAATGTGCTATATATATTCAATAGTATTTGGAGATTAGGACAGAAAGATTTAGAGACATGCTGCTTAGATATCATATCTTTCTATGCGATGATTCTAATATATTCTGAAGACTTTGTAAATATAGATATCAATTCGATTATCACCATTGCTTCACAAGATAAATTAAATATAAGAAGCGAGATAGATTTGTTTTGGGCTGTTTGGAGATGGGGTAAAGAATTGTGCGCCAAAGAAGGCATAACATGCAAAGAAAAAGAGATAATCAATCAAATTAGACCCATTTTGTCCCATATAAGATTTAATCAGATGTCTGAAATGGATAAGATTGATTTACCAAAATTTCTTAGTGACATGGTCGATGAATACACAGATATTCATAAAAGTAGAATAACTAAGACAAATAATCCAAATAAATCCTCTTTGAATCGCTTTGGGTTGACAGTTAATTTGGCAACATGTTTCAATTATTGTAAATCATCTGTATTGGGAGAAGAAAATAGTTTGATATCATTTACTACCGATAAAACAGGCTTCATTCTAGGATTTAAGTTAATAATTTGCGGTGAAGATTTTACAAATTCTGAATTTAGACTTCTTTTGGTTTCTACAAAAAGCCGTAGATTATTAATGGATGAGAATTGTAATCCTGAATCTGAAGAAGTGGAAGATCTTGGAGATTCTATAAAATCTGTTAAAATGGTCATAGCATTGAAAAAACTGGCCTATCTTAATGCGAATGAACCTTATGAAATTATTTTGAAAAACGGAAGCGAAAAGAATTGGCTACCAATAGCACAAAACGTTCATAAATCCATAAATGTAGATGGTTGTGTTGAATTTTCAATACTCAGTAATATTATTGGAATAAGCATTATGTATTTTGCAGAAGTAGACGATAGTCGTCTTGTATTTTCTTTCCATTCAAGTAAAAAATTATAAAAAAAAATTATGTTAGAATTGTTTTTATTTTTCACTGTTTACTTTCTATGGGCACCAAGTGGTGCCCATAATGGGCAAGAGATCCTTTTTTTATATTCATTGGAGGTTCGGTCAGGTCCACAATAAGGATACTGCATGGTAAGGTGTGGGAACACACAGTTTTTATTGACAAATCCGATGCCGTAAAGCAATAATGGGATCGAGTGCAAAAAAACAAATACAGTATAATACCGTAAGTTACATAAATAGACCCGACAATATAATAAAGATATTGTTAAAGTGCCGCGATTACAAAACAGTGTACACGACATACATAGTACCATTACAAAATGAAGCAAACGACAAAGACGACAATTAATAACGACACAGAATCATTAGGAACAGTTTATGGCTAAGGTTGGCACAACATACCTGATAATCCGACAGAATTAATCAATGAGTATTAGTTCTTGCAAAAATAGGTTCTTATTAAGAGGGAATGAAGAGAATGAAACTGCTCTTGTCCTTGATAAACTAATAGAGTGGATAAGGCCATTGGATGCCAACTGAATCCATGTGTAATGTAATATTCAGTTTGACGTCTTGCAACATATAGCAAAAAAAAAAAAAAAAAAAAAAAAAAAAAATAATGCATAATAAAAAAAGAAAAAAAAAAAGTAAAATCATCATTAAGTCCGATCCTACTGAAGATACACACGATCCCCATTATCTCCCCACATTCTCGACGTATAACCACCAAAATTTAATAGCATAAATCCCCTAATAAACAAACCTCCCTGCCAAATTTCAGAACTTTTCGACAAAAATGCACAAGAGTCACTAATCTTCAAACAGGGTAAACAAAATCGTGCCCCCACACACTAACATCCATACATACAGAAAATGCCCCTGAATTTTTTTGCATTTCTCGACGTTTCAAGATATCCTAAGTCCAAAAATGTAAAAATCTTGGGGATCATTTTTTGTCTTTTCCCTCTGTTATATATAACAGCTAGGAAAATAAAAAGCCATATATTATTTTAATTCATTATTTTTGAAGATTGTATAAATGTATAAATAACCTTCGAAACTGCAAAGATCATTTAGCGTTGTGATGACAGCAACAAAAAATTTGAATTAAAATAGACATACTAGGTGCTCTCCTCGCCGCCTTTGGCGGTTCAGCATCGACATTTTGCATCGCAATTTGCAGTATCTTTTTAAACGAAATTAGTTATGCATATATTTATTTATTTGTANTGGTTTTATTTAAAATAATAAAATATTTTCAATTATCTAAATATAATTTACTATTTTAAAAAATAATTATTATTATCAACAATAATAATATTATTAATCTATTAAATTAAAATTTTTATTTTTATTCTAATGTTTCTATAATTATCACCACCAGAGGACTCTTGGCAGCATCGTTAGTTTCAGTGCGTACGAAAGTTTGCTGGATTTGAATTTTGTTTGAAAATAAAGCGAAAATGAATGCAAGATCACAGATGTTTGAATTGGTAAGATTATATATAAGGATATTTTTTGATAAATTTCCTATCTCTGCATCCTACTGGTAAATGCTTCCAGTTTTTACATTGCTTTTTATACTAGTAATTTTGAAATTCGTGAAAGATTACATATTTTGCTGGCAAAATGCGAATATTTCAGAGATAAAAAAACATTTCTCCACATTATTTAAAAGAAAATGTATGATCTGGAGTATATGACTATTGTTGACGTCATTCTTTTCATCTCTGACCTTCGGGTTATCATTTTTAAGCTTCATTATACTGTACACTAGACTTTTCAGCTAGATTTGCTCCAGCCATAGCTTTCTACATAATGTTGACATTAGTGGGACTCGTCTAGAGCAGAGGTACCTAACCCACTTTACGTTAAAATCGAAACTGAAAATAATAATACAATTAAAAATGAAATCAAAATTGATTCCCACTGTTTATAAAGCTGTAAATAACCTTAGCATATGTATGGTCTCCGATGGAGTTCTTGTATCGTACTACAAGGACTATCCGAGACTGCGACAATTATGCCTCGATCCCGAATTGGCATTGGCACGTTTGTATGTCACTAGACTTGACGGATTTTATTGGTGGAACTCTATGGATTCATGTAATGCCATTTGGGAACCCCTGGCCTAGAGTAGGCCAACCATAACATTTACCATCCAATCGTGGATGCATTTCAGAATTGGTGAAAATGGGTCTAAACTGATTGAACCTTGGTTATTTTTTAAAATTTATTTGTTTATTGATCTGTAAATTGGTGATATTATATTGGCATGTTAATAAAAGTGCTCTTATTCAAAGGTTCGTGTTACAATCAAATATTAAAAACATGTAAAACTGGAGGACAGTCTGTCTAGAGAGACTTTAGGTGCATTTCCTAGTAAAATTGTTTTACTTAAGCTGCTGAAGGGTGCCATAAGCAATTTCTGCTTTTGTAGGAAATGCTTCTATGCCTCGGTTACTTGGCATTGTTGTTTAGTTCTTTGTATATATTGTTTTGTATGAATAAAAATGCTTATTCAGAAATGACACACAATTGTTTCTGAGACTATAAAATATTAGAGGCAGTTGATCAAGAAAATGTCAAAATGTGTAAAAATGCAATAACCTACTTGATAAACAAGAACAGTAGAAAGTGTGCATTTGCCATCTTCTGTTATGTTGGAGTAGAAGATTATGTGGAAAATTGCATTTCTAATTTTTCCGATAATCGGTTTAAAATAGATTTTTGTATGTCACAATTTTTATTTGAGGTACAATATATATGTGTATAATTTATGGTGGCAGCCATCTTAACTTCTAGTGCTTGTGAACCTTGCTGCAGTAATGCTACAGTGGCTAATTTAAAGTGGAATAAGCTAATATTATTCTGACAATTGTTATAATGCTGGGCTGCAATTTTTAATTTATTTATATTGTACAAAAATTTACTACCATTATATTCACCCAGCTGATTTTTCCAAAAAAATGAGCATTTTTGGTCTACTTCTAGAACTGCTTCAGGTGAAAAATTTTTAAACATATGGAACTTTTAATGTTTTGATGTCGTAATATGATGGTAATGAATACAGTATTGCCCAGTTTCTAGAGAAGTTATATTTTAATTTATTTAATTTAAAATATATGCTCTTGATTTTAGTAGTGCCTTCCCCCTGTACATCATGCTTTTCCTGATAATAACAGAGTCAAACAGTCTCAACAATACTACTGGTGTAATATAGATAAATAATAACTACACACAAACACCAATAAACCAGAAAAAAAATGAATAAATTAAAACCAAAAGCAAATGTTTTTTTCCATTTTAAATAGTCATCTTCAAAATAGAAGAACATAGATATAAACAAATGCGTGTTCTAAAAACAGAACATCATATAAATTTAAAAACTGGAATTGTCTTGAAATCACATGTGTCCATTACAGTGTTTAACACCACGCTTTAATCGAGATATTACGACATATAACAATTTTAAAAATAAAAGATTTTACAAAATACTAAATAAAACATATATGCCTTAATACAAGACCTATAGGAGGTCATAGAACATCCTCCACATAGTTGAAAGAGAGTCCATCTCCTTATACCCATTTTGAAGGTCTTGAATATTTCAATTTATTCACAATACTTTAGGCTGACTGGGTCTTCACAGTGGTGTAAGATACAGGTGTTATCAAATATAACCTGAATGTCATCATCATTGGCAAAAGCAGCCAATGCAGTTGTTGCCTCTTCTGAATTGTATGTTGATGTTCTTTAATCCTTCTTAACAGTATTAACAGTGTAATGGACATGTGCATTTCAAGATGATTCCAGTTTTTAAATTTATATGATGTTCTATTTTTAGAATATGCATTTGTTTATATGTATGAGGTGTGGCTAAAAAATAACAAGAGTGAAGCTGAAACTTTAAATCTTGGGTAGTCTAGAAGCAGAAGGATCATACATTGAAGGAGAACACAACTAAAGTGCCTCTTTTAGTTGTGTTCTCCTTCAATGTATGATCCTTCCTTCTGCTTCCAAACAGCACTGCATTTGCAATTTCCACTGATCATAACAGTACTGCAGGTCAACATCTATAAGGCTATGCAGAAGCTATGCTTTTTTAGTTTCTGCTGTCAAAAAAAAAAGAAAATCAAAATAGTGTCCCTTCAGAGCAGACTTGATTTTAGGGAAAAGATAAAAGTCACACTGAGCTAGGTCAGACAAGTACGATGGGTGTTCAAGTAGCATGACTCTCTTCTTGGCCAACAACTGCTTCACTGACAGAGTGGAATGGGCTGGTGCATTGTCCTGATGGAGGATGAAACCATTTTGCCACAAGTGTCACCACTTTCTTCTGACCCTTTCCTGCAAAGATTCCAGAACTTTATAGTAGTATTGGTTCACAATTTGTTCCATTTTTTGCACATTTTTCTTTGTTTTTGATGTGCTGGGCCATCCAGAACATTCATTGTCTTTCATGTGTTCAAATGACACAGGAGATTTTCCGAGGGCAGAGAATCCTCTCAGCCCTCGGAAAATCTCCTGTGTCATTTGAACACGTGCACGAGAAAGACGTGTCTTCATCTCACAAAGTTGTAGTTAACTCTACTCGGAATAACACTAAGGAATCTACATCACAATTAACAACTGCCTTTATTCCCCAACCTCATAGCCTCCTGTAAGTACAAAGATACCATACTGTTAAGCCTATACAAGGGAATAAGGCTGTTATACTAAGCAACTATATACAGTAGAGTATCGATTATCCAACCCCTGATCAACCACCACATCAGTTAACCGACCACATTCTAGTCAGCAAATTCGAATGTTCGCTTAGTGATGTGGCATTACAATATTCAGCTGTCTTGGCTACTTTAATATTATTTTTGTTAAATTTTTGCGTGTTTTAGCTGGCAACACTGGCTTGACCATAAAAGGGGCGGCCAGTATTTAAACGAGGCTTAATTTTCCAATTATGAGTGGTTGTTTGTTTCGTGAGCAATAAATCATTTTAAAATAATTTTTAACGATACAATAGTGACAATTGTTATTTTAAAAAAATTTTGTTTGGCTTACATTGATGAAAATTCAACGCGAAGTAGGTTAATAGCAATATACTTTTTTTCCCACCCTGTAGGCACTAAGAGGGCTACTTAAAGCAGGCCCATTATGAGTTTGGCCTGCCCACAATGGGGCGACTGGGTGGTGAGGGACGGGGTCTGACATATTCGAACAGCCCACCCCCCGTAAAATTCCTGGGGATTCTTTGACCTGTCCGGATTCGATCCCGGGTCCCCCAGAGCAGTAGGCTGGCACCTTGACCACTTGGCCATCCGGCTGTCAATAGCAATATACTAATTCGGTTTATCTGTTTTTTCAGTTATCCAACCAACCCCAGTCCCCAATTGAGTCGTATAATCGATGTTCTACTGTACTGTAAAAATTCTTGTTGGCTGATTCATGTCCTATCTCCTATAGCAAACAGTTCAGTATGAGAAGTCTTGCATTTTCCACATGAAAAATACTAGAATATTTTGTTTTCTCTAAAAACATTTCTTGAATATATGTGCAAAAAATATGTGATAGTGAAAAATACACACAGAAATATGGCTATATATGCCTTATTTCTGTGTGTTTTTCACCATCACATTTAAATGTATTAATTACAGAATAAAAATTAGAGACTGAGAATTTGTAAATATTTTATTTTTTAAGAATTTTAACTGCATTAAAAATAAGAATTTAGTTTTAAATTTGAATTTTTAATATTTTTTTTCTTTGTTGGTTGATCTTCAATTTTGATATGTTTCATCATCATCTAAATATCTTGTGTTTAAATTTTTTTCATATTATTCCAAAACTTCTAAAACATTAATTATGTAGACTTATTGTTCATTACTCTACAATATTATTTGGACAGCTGTTTTTCTCAGGATATTTACACTCTTCCTCTTTTACTTCAAACTTCTCTCTTTCACAAGAATTTCCAACAAATTTTCCACTTTGGGCGCACATATTTTCTTGTGATTCTTTCTTACTCAGAATTATGCGCTCTCCACAGAAATATTCAGTTGAATAATCTGAATTACAACATTCATCAGACTTTGCTGTGGATGACTTGGGACATTCTTCCTTTTCACATGCCATAAGATGATCATCTTGCAGATTTTTACATTCTGTTTTTTCTGTTATGCATTCTTTTTGTTTCTTGTCACATTCTTGATTTTTTGTAGTGTGACATTCATCATTATCCTGATTGTGAAACATGTTTAAATAATTAAATAACTTCTGAAGAGTGAAATATAAACAAAAAGAATTTGCAATACTGTTATAAATGAACAATGTTTATTGTTGTTGGTTCAATTATTTAAATAGCATAATTGTTGCATTTATATTCAAATTATTTTGAATTTATTATATCAAATTTAAATAAATTTTTTCCAACATTAATTTAAGTGTATCATCATTTTTTTCAATTTATTAAGATTATATCAAATGATTCAAAAATATTTCTGCACTGAATAAATTTATAGTATTCATCATATATCTATATCTATTTGTAGATGTGTTTTTATTATATAAAACATTTGATTTTAATAGTTCATGATTACAGGTATACCTCAACTTACGTTGTTTCGAGTTACGTCGTTCCCGATTATACGTCATTATGGAAAAATAAAAATCAAGTTTAAGTCATTTTATTCGAATATTTGTGGCGGATAGACATATCCGCCACAAATATTGAAGTCATAATATCACTAAAAAAGCGTTTAAAGCACATAAAATCACATTAAAATATATATATTTACAAGTATGGACTGTATTTACAGTACATGCATTTGTAAATTTAGATTACTTTTTTCTGTACTATATTAAAAACTAAAATTTATTTGTTTTGTAAGCTTAAAATAGATTCTTATTAACCATATATTATAAAAAATGCATTAATAAATAAAATACAGAACCGGGAATGGTAATTTATGGTTTAGCCTAGTGACAAGTAGATTTGGAGACAAGTAAATTTGACTTACATCACCTCTCCTGGAACCAATTACTGATGTAAGGTGAGGTATATATGTATCTCTACATAGAATAGCCTAAAAGTCAAGTTAACGGAGACCTATTTTAAGCAGCAATGCAATAGTCAGTTTAATTGTACTGACTAGAATCTGAAAATTTTTAGTATATTAGTACATCTTATACTGTTCTAGTACAATTTAGGAATTAATAATAATGATCTCACAATAATATGTAGATGATTAAAAATGATTATGGCAAATAGTAAAAAATATTCAGGTAGAGTGCTCATATACAGAGTGTGTGGCTAATCTTATTTCAGCAGCCTTATCCTCACTAGAATAGTCAAACCTGCTTTAGCATAGGTGCTAAATTTTTACAATTGTCTAATCATTTTGCATGAAAAGATTATTTTATGATATTTCTACAAATACAGTAATACCCCGAACTTACATGATAGGTGGGACCGAGTGGTAACCGCGTAAGTCGGTGTATAATTTCGCATATAAATACATACAAATAATTTTTAATTGGGGCCGGAGACTAAAGAAAACAATAATTTAGAAAGAAATGTTTAATAAAATCTTAGATAATACATATGTATAACAAATTAGGCCTATATTATTTTACAATTTTTCACATTTACTTGATTATTATGCCATAATTTTAACATTGTTTCCATCTTAGTGATAATACTGTGCGTTTACGAATGATGTTTGAATTTAAAGATTGAGCATTTTTCACAGCTTTGAGAATTTTTTCTTTGCCTTTTATAATTGTTCTGACTGACAATTCCGGTAGATCAAACTTCTTTGCCAATTCACAAATTTTCATTTTGTATCAAAGTCTTTAATAATAACAAGTTAAACGCGTTAGTAACAAATCGTTCGAAAAGTCTAACGAAATAGGGATAACGATGACATCATTCTTGTTTAACTCGTTCGACTTTACGAACATACCCAATGTTAATTTTACATTCCAAAGATAAAGTTTTTCTTTTCTTGTTTGATGCAGAAGAATTAGTTCTACTTTGTTTGGATGACATAGTAAAGTCTCTCAAGTCTCCGTAGATATAACAAACACAGAAATAAATAACACAAAATAAATTGTAGTTATGTGTCAATTCTGCGCAACATATCTGAACATGTAAGCTGAACAATAGTGTGGGGGGAATCAGTAATCAAGGGTTGCATGGCGCTCAAACAAAAGACGAATCGACGAGATTTGAAAATCGCTTAACTCCGGATTCACGTAAGTCGAGGTATTACTGTAGTTGTTATGATGCATAAAAGACTAAAACCCTTTTAAGTTATTTTAATTTACTTATTAGTAATTTTATTTTTTTGACAAAGTTAAGAAGAAAATTTGCTTAATAATTTCTTTCTGATTTTGATGACTATTGAATTGCCATGAACATCATGAAAAAGTTAGATTAATCTTACGCTAATCCAAAATTGAATACAGTATAACCGTATTTATTAAAGCTAATTTTTTTGAAATTTTTGACTGATAGATAATTTTTTTTGTGTAATGCTTTCAGAATTTTAGTGATTGCAAATCAGTTCAAAGTAAAATTTACATATGAAATTCATTTTTATAATTTTTACATACAAACTTTGAAAATAAACCAAAAAGATATTATACAGGTTTTTTTTATGAATAAGGTAATTTTTTTTAACATTTTATTAAGATTTTCAATTGTAATTTTAGTTTGCCATTTTCATAAATTCTTTTGTGAGGTGTTTTTCTGAGGACTGTGTGTCGTGCTGAATCCAACGTTTTTGATACTAGATTAACTTCTAAAGTATAATNCCTTGGCTATTAGTTATAACAATAAAATAAATGTAATTTATAGTACAGTATATATTAATATTAATAAGTGCCTACTATTTCAATTCACATACTTTGCACAAAGGACAAGGGCCTCGCAAAGTTCTGCCGCCTAGGGCCTCGCAAAGATCTGCCGTCCAGAGCCTCGCAATGGATAAGGCCGCTGCTGCCACCAATATCCAATAGAACTATTTTAAACAGGTCGCTGCACTAGCACAGAATTTTTCATTGCTTGCTCTGTGACAAAACTGAATTTTAGTCTTTTAAATTGAAATACCTAAATAAGGGGTGGCGAAATTTTCCTCCGACCCGGGCGGCTGACACACACGCTACGCCACTGCTAAAAGGGTACATTTTATCATGAACACACAAATTTGGAAATAAAATTCTGTACTATTCGATACAAAAACATGGAATCGGATGAATCCATACTGCGTCATGATTTTACACACTGGAAATTTACAAGCTACATCTCACTTACACATCTACATTTACTTTGCTTTTGGATGTGTTTCCCTCCGGCTCGCAAATATATGTTAGTTTGTTTATTTTTTAACTCCCTATCTGTTAGAAAGCCCTTCCAATCTGTAGGCCTGTATTTTCGTTTATTCTTTTATTATCAACTATTTTTATAATTACTAAATCTTCGAATAGTTTTCTTAGTTTTCTCATAGCATATTTTCTTCACGTTTTTGAACTTTATATTGTCTGTAAACTTTAAAGGAAAATGTAAATACAGTAAACCCCGCTAGCTCGGATTTTACATAACTCGGACAAATTTTTTCGAGACAGTAATTTAAAATTTCTTGACAATAGAAAATTTGTAATTAACTAATTTTTTTCGATATCCACAAGTCTTCGCGATACCATACATCACGTCATTGTAGTCGGTAATTTAGGCTACTGAAGAGTATATATTGCTGTATACTGTATTGTCATGAAATTTTTGAGCTCATTTCCTGTAACAATAAATTTAACAATAGGATACATCAGGAATTAGATGAATTTTGCTACGATCAATGGTTACAAAATTCGTAATATTTAAAATATTTCGTTGGTTTTATTTAAAATAATAAAATATTTTCAATTATCTAAATATAATTTACTATTTTAAAAAATAATTATTATTATCAACAATAATAATATTATTAATCTATTAAATTAAAATTTTTATTTTTATTCTAATGTTTCTATAATTATCACCACCAGAGGACTCTTGGCAGCATCGTTAGTTTCAGTGCGTACGAAAGTTTGCTGGATTTGAATTTTGTTTGAAAATAAAGCGAAAATGAATGCAAGATCACAGATGTTTGAATTGGTAAGATTATATATAAGGATATTTTTTGATAAATTTCCTATCTCTGCATCCTACTGGTAAATGCTTCCAGTTTTTACATTGCTTTTTATACTAGTAATTTTGAAATTCGTGAAAGATTACATATTTTGCTGGCAAAATGCGAATATTTCAGAGATAAAAAAACATTTCTCCACATTATTTAAAAGAAAATGTATGATCTGGAGTATATGACTATTGTTGACGTCATTCTTTTCATCTCTGACCTTCGGGTTATCATTTTTAAGCTTCATTATACTGTACACTAGACTTTTCAGCTAGATTTGCTCCAGCCATAGCTTTCTACATAATGTTGACATTAGTGGGACTCGTCTAGAGCAGAGGTACCTAACCCACTTTACGTTAAAATCGAAACTGAAAATAATAATACAATTAAAAATGAAATCAAAATTGATTCCCACTGTTTATAAAGCTGTAAATAACCTTAGCATATGTATGGTCTCCGATGGAGTTCTTGTATCGTACTACAAGGACTATCCGAGACTGCGACAATTATGCCTCGATCCCGAATTGGCATTGGCACGTTTGTATGTCACTAGACTTGACGGATTTTATTGGTGGAACTCTATGGATTCATGTAATGCCATTTGGGAACCCCTGGCCTAGAGTAGGCCAACCATAACATTTACCATCCAATCGTGGATGCATTTCAGAATTGGTGAAAATGGGTCTAAACTGATTGAACCTTGGTTATTTTTTAAAATTTATTTGTTTATTGATCTGTAAATTGGTGATATTATATTGGCATGTTAATAAAAGTGCTCTTATTCAAAGGTTCGTGTTACAATCAAATATTAAAAACATGTAAAACTGGAGGACAGTCTGTCTAGAGAGACTTTAGGTGCATTTCCTAGTAAAATTGTTTTACTTAAGCTGCTGAAGGGTGCCATAAGCAATTTCTGCTTTTGTAGGAAATGCTTCTATGCCTCGGTTACTTGGCATTGTTGTTTAGTTCTTTGTATATATTGTTTTGTATGAATAAAAATGCTTATTCAGAAATGACACACAATTGTTTCTGAGACTATAAAATATTAGAGGCAGTTGATCAAGAAAATGTCAAAATGTGTAAAAATGCAATAACCTACTTGATAAACAAGAACAGTAGAAAGTGTGCATTTGCCATCTTCTGTTATGTTGGAGTAGAAGATTATGTGGAAAATTGCATTTCTAATTTTTCCGATAATCGGTTTAAAATAGATTTTTGTATGTCACAATTTTTATTTGAGGTACAATATATATGTGTATAATTTATGGTGGCAGCCATCTTAACTTCTAGTGCTTGTGAACCTTGCTGCAGTAATGCTACAGTGGCTAATTTAAAGTGGAATAAGCTAATATTATTCTGACAATTGTTATAATGCTGGGCTGCAATTTTTAATTTATTTATATTGTACAAAAATTTACTACCATTATATTCACCCAGCTGATTTTTCCAAAAAAATGAGCATTTTTGGTCTACTTCTAGAACTGCTTCAGGTGAAAAATTTTTAAACATATGGAACTTTTAATGTTTTGATGTCGTAATATGATGGTAATGAATACAGTATTGCCCAGTTTCTAGAGAAGTTATATTTTAATTTATTTAATTTAAAATATATGCTCTTGATTTTAGTAGTGCCTTTCCCCTGTACATCATGCTTTTCCTGATAATAACAGAGTCAAACAGTCTCAACAATACTACTGGTGTAATATAGATAAATAATAACTACACACAAACACCAATAAACCAGAAAAAAAATGAATAAATTAAAACCAAAAGCAAATGTTTTTTTCCATTTTAAATAGTCATCTTCAAAATAGAAGAACATAGATATAAACAAATGCGTGTTCTAAAAACAGAACATCATATAAATTTAAAAACTGGAATTGTCTTGAAATCACATGTGTCCATTACAGTGTTTAACACCACGCTTTAATCGAGATATTACGACATATAACAATTTTAAAAATAAAAGATTTTACAAAATACTAAATAAAACATATATGCCTTAATACAAGACCTATAGGAGGTCATAGAACATCCTCCACATAGTTGAAAGAGAGTCCATCTCCTTATACCCATTTTGAAGGTCTTGAATATTTCAATTTATTCACAATACTTTAGGCTGACTGGGTCTTCACAGTGGTGTAAGATACAGGTGTTATCAAATATAACCTGAATGTCATCATCATTGGCAAAAGCAGCCAATGCAGTTGTTGCCTCTTCTGAATTGTATGTTGATGTTCTTTAATCCTTCTTAACAGTATTAACAGTGTAATGGACATGTGCATTTCAAGATGATTCCAGTTTTTAAATTTATATGATGTTCTATTTTTAGAATATGCATTTGTTTATATGTATGAGGTGTGGCTAAAAAATAACAAGAGTGAAGCTGAAACTTTAAATCTTGGGTAGTCTAGAAGCAGAAGGATCATACATTGAAGGAGAACACAACTAAAGTGCCTCTTTTAGTTGTGTTCTCCTTCAATGTATGATCCTTCCTTCTGCTTCCAAACAGCACTGCATTTGCAATTTCCACTGATCATAACAGTACTGCAGGTCAACATCTATAAGGCTATGCAGAAGCTATGCTTTTTTAGTTTCTGCTGTCAAAAAAAAAAGAAAATCAAAATAGTGTCCCTTCAGAGCAGACTTGATTTTAGGGAAAAGATAAAAGTCACACTGAGCTAGGTCAGACAAGTACGATGGGTGTTCAAGTAGCATGACTCTCTTCTTGGCCAACAACTGCTTCACTGACAGAGTGGAATGGGCTGGTGCATTGTCCTGATGGAGGATGAAACCATTTTGCCACAAGTGTCACCACTTTCTTCTGACCCTTTCCTGCAAAGATTCCAGAACTTTATAGTAGTATTGGTTCACAATTTGTTCCATTTTTTGCACATTTTTCTTTGTTTTTGATGTGCTGGGCCATCCAGAACATTCATTGTCTTTCATGTGTTCAAATGACACAGGAGATTTTCCGAGGGCAGAGAATCCTCTCAGCCCTCGGAAAATCTCCTGTGTCATTTGAACACGTGCACGAGAAAGACGTGTCTTCATCTCACAAAGTTGTAGTTAACTCTACTCGGAATAACACTAAGGAATCTACATCACAATTAACAACTGCCTTTATTCCCCAACCTCATAGCCTCCTGTAAGTACAAAGATACCATACTGTTAAGCCTATACAAGGGAATAAGGCTGTTATACTAAGCAACTATATACAGTAGAGTATCGATTATCCAACCCCTGATCAACCACCACATCAGTTAACCGACCACATTCTAGTCAGCAAATTCGAATGTTCGCTTAGTGATGTGGCATTACAATATTCAGCTGTCTTGGCTACTTTAATATTATTTTTGTTAAATTTTTGCGTGTTTTAGCTGGCAACACTGGCTTGACCATAAAAGGGGCGGCCAGTATTTAAACGAGGCTTAATTTTCCAATTATGAGTGGTTGTTTGTTTCGTGAGCAATAAATCATTTTAAAATAATTTTTAACGATACAATAGTGACAATTGTTATTTTAAAAAAATTTTGTTTGGCTTACATTGATGAAAATTCAACGCGAAGTAGGTTAATAGCAATATACTTTTTTTCCCACCCTGTAGGCACTAAGAGGGCTACTTAAAGCAGGCCCATTATGAGTTTGGCCTGCCCACAATGGGGCGACTGGGTGGTGAGGGACGGGGTCTGACATATTCGAACAGCCCACCCCCCGTAAAATTCCTGGGGATTCTTTGACCTGTCCGGATTCGATCCCGGGTCCCCCAGAGCAGTAGGCTGGCACCTTGACCACTTGGCCATCCGGCTGTCAATAGCAATATACTAATTCGGTTTATCTGTTTTTTCAGTTATCCAACCAACCCCAGTCCCCAATTGAGTCGTATAATCGATGTTCTACTGTACTGTAAAAATTCTTGTTGGCTGATTCATGTCCTATCTCCTATAGCAAACGGTTCAGTATGAGAAGTCTTGCATTTTCCACATGAAAAATACTAGAATATTTTGTTTTCTCTAAAAACATTTCTTGAATATATGTGCAAAAAATATGTGATAGTGAAAAATACACACAGAAATATGGCTATATATGCCTTATTTCTGTGTGTTTTTCACCATCACATTTAAATGTATTAATTACAGAATAAAAATTAGAGACTGAGAATTTGTAAATATTTTATTTTTTAAGAATTTTAACTGCATTAAAAATAAGAATTTAGTTTTAAATTTGAATTTTTAATATTTTTTTTCTTTGTTGGTTGATCTTCAATTTTGATATGTTTCATCATCATCTAAATATCTTGTGTTTAAATTTTTTTCATATTATTCCAAAACTTCTAAAACATTAATTATGTAGACTTATTGTTCATTACTCTACAATATTATTTGGACAGCTGTTTTTCTCAGGATATTTACACTCTTCCTCTTTTACTTCAAACTTCTCTCTTTCACAAGAATTTCCAACAAATTTTCCACTTTGGGCGCACATATTTTCTTGTGATTCTTTCTTACTCAGAATTATGCGCTCTCCACAGAAATATTCAGTTGAATAATCTGAATTACAACATTCATCAGACTTTGCTGTGGATGACTTGGGACATTCTTCCTTTTCACATGCCATAAGATGATCATCTTGCAGATTTTTACATTCTGTTTTTTCTGTTATGCATTCTTTTTGTTTCTTGTCACATTCTTGATTTTTTGTAGTGTGACATTCATCATTATCCTGATTGTGAAACATGTTTAAATAATTAAATAACTTCTGAAGAGTGAAATATAAACAAAAAGAATTTGCAATACTGTTATAAATGAACAATGTTTATTGTTGTTGGTTCAATTATTTAAATAGCATAATTGTTGCATTTATATTCAAATTATTTTGAATTTATTAGAAAAACATTTACCAAATCTAAGTTATAGTAGTAGTAATGTAATATTTTATGTTCATGGCATTTTATCCTAGTCAAATTATCTTGAATTTATTAGAGATCTATTATTATGTTACGTCCAAATTAATAATGATTGGATTTGAAACATAATTATGACTTTTATATTTAGATCAGTTGCTTTTATCATTTACAGTAATTTAAACTTTATGCTTGTTTTCTGATATATGTTTAAGTTTATATTAGTGTCCAAAATTATTAGTTTATTTGAATATGAAGAGCTAAAACAATATTTAATATAATGTTTTAAATATGTATATGTCAAATTGAACTGATTATATTTTTAAAATGGAAAGTAATTTTGATTTTGTTATATTTCTTCAAATTAAATTTTTATCATATTTCCTTCATTCTAAGATGCACATTTTTAAACATTTCTATTTTTCCAAAATAAAGGTGTATCTTTACACACCTCTATTTTGAACAAATAAATGCTGATTATTGTATTAGAAACAAAATAAAAATCAGCACTCTTTATGAGTAGATTACTTGGTGCATTATGCACCAGTAATAGATGATAGATAGATAGATAGATAGATATATATAATAGACATGCACCAATAATAGATGCTTTTACTTCTACTACTTAAAGGTCACATCAGGGCAAATCAATTGAACATTTAAAATGTCTTTATGACAACATTATGATAAAGCATTAAAATGAAATGTTCTTCTGTACACAGAAGAGCATGGAATAAAGCTCCNATATCAAATTTAAATAAATTTTTTCCAACATTAATTTAAGTGTATCATCATTTTTTTCAATTTATTAAGATTATATCAAATGATTCAAAAATATTTCTGCACTGAATAAATTTATAGTATTCATCATATATCTATATCTATTTGTAGATGTGTTTTTATTATATAAAACATTTGATTTTAATAGTTCATGATTACAGGTATACCTCAACTTACGTTGTTTCGAGTTACGTCGTTCCCGATTATACGTCATTATGGAAAAATAAAAATCAAGTTTAAGTCATTTTATTCGAATATTTGTGGCGGATAGACATATCCGCCACAAATATTGAAGTCATAATATCACTAAAAAAGCGTTTAAAGCACATAAAATCACATTAAAATATATATATTTACAAGTATGTACTGTATTTACAGTACATGCATTCGTAAATTTAGATTACTTTTTTCTGTACTATATTAAAAACTAAAATTTATTTGTTTTGTAAGCTTAAAATAGATTCTTATTAACTATATATTATTAAAAAATGCATTAATAAATAAAATACAGAACCGGGAATGGTAATTTATGGTTTAGCCTAGTGACAAGTAGATGTGGAGACAAGTAAGTTTAACTTACATCACCTCTCCTGGAACCAATTACTGATGTAAGGTGAGGTATATATGTATCTCTACATAGAATAGCCTAAAAGTCAAGTTAACGGAGACCTATTTTAAGCAGCAATGCAATAGTCAGTTTAATTGTACTGACTAGAATCTGAAAATTTTTAGTATATTAGTACATCTTATACTGTTCTAGTACAATTTAGGAATTAATAATAATGATCTCACAATAATATGTAGATGATTAAAAATGATTATGGCAAATAGTAAAAAATATTCAGGTAGAGTGCTCATATACAGAGTGTGTGGCTAATCTTATTTCAGCAGCCTTATCCTCACTAGAATAGTCAAACCTGCTTTAGCATAGGTGCTAAATTTTTACAATTGTCTAATCATTTTGCATGAAAAGATTATTTTATGATATTTCTACAAATACAGTAATACCCCGAACTTACATGATAGGTGGGACCGAGTGGTAACCGCGTAAGTCGGTGTATAATTTCGCATATAAATACATACAAATAATTTTTAATTGGGGCCGGAGACTAAAGAAAACAATAATTTAGAAAGAAATGTTTAATAAAATCTTAGATAATACATATGTATAACAAATTAGGCCTATATTATTTTACAATTTTTCACATTTACTTGATTATTATGCCATAATTTTAACATTGTTTCCATCTTAGTGATAATACTGTGCGTTTACGAATGATGTTTGAATTTAAAGATTGAGCATTTTTCACAGCTTTGAGAATTTTTTCTTTGCCTTTTATAATTGTTCTGACTGACAATTCCGGTAGATCAAACTTCTTTGCCAATTCACAAATTTTCATTTTGTATCAAAGTCTTTAATAATAACAAGTTAAACGCGTTAGTAACAAATCGTTCGAAAAGTCTAACGAAATAGGGATAACGATGACATCATTCTTGTTTAACTCGTTCGACTTTACGAACATACCCAATGTTAATTTTACATTCCAAAGATAAAGTTTTTCTTTTCTTGTTTGATGCAGAAGAATTAGTTCTACTTTGTTTGGATGACATAGTAAAGTCTCTCAAGTCTCCGTAGATATAACAAACACAGAAATAAATAACACAAAATAAATTGTAGCTATGTNAGAAAGATGCTGCCAGTGAAGACAGCCACTGCTAAACATCAGTTGTTGCAACAATCTCATGCAAAACAGTATTTGAAATTTGTGGAAACTCATTACAAAGCAATCTTATTGTGAACCGTCTGTTTTCAGGAATTTTTTCATTCACTTTTGCAACCAAACCATCATTGACAACAGAAGGCCAGCCACTCCATGCTTCGTCATGAACATCAGTGCGTTCAGCATTGAATTGTCGAACCCACTTTCTAACCATTCCATCAGTCATTACATTTTCATCATAAATCTCTACAAGTTGATGATGAATTTCAACTGGCTTAACATTCTTTGCATTCAAAAACCGTATTACAGAATGCACTTCACAGTCGGCAAGATCAGCAATAGTCTTAAACATTTTGAACGCTCATTAACACGTGGAAAAACAACACAATCCGGCTGTAATGGTATCACTGGACTGACAATCAACCAGTAGAACATGTGCGCAGGTGCTGAACTGCAATACTATCACTGCAATGGTGGTAGAACAAAACGGTACTTACTTTCCGGACATGCCTCATATATATTACAGTATCAAAATTTGTCCAATTATAATGGACTTCAAAAATATATAATTTTAAAGTTAAGTTGTTAATTGAATTATGTTCTTACATGTGAGGCTCATGTACAACATGTAGATGGTGACATGGAGCATAAATGCATGTACTGTAATATACAAACAAGATTGTTTTTAATGTACCATTGTTTTTATTGTATCATTAAAAATTATTTCTTTATTTTTTCAAACAAAATAAATATCAGAATTCGATTTTCATTTTTATCTACTTTTTAAACTGCTTCTGGCCCTCTAATGGTAGTTACGAGTATCTCCAATATTTGCATATGGTTACAATTTTTGTAAAAACTCAGGATTATTTCTTCAGAATTCGAAGTTTGGACTATTTACAAAAAGACTTTTTGACTTTTTGTAAATAGTCCAAACTTCGAATTCTGAAGAAATAATCCTGAGTTTTTACAAAAATTGTAACCATATGCAAATATTGGAGATACTCGTAACTACCATTAGAGGGCCAGAAGCAGTTTAAAAAGTAGATAAAAATGAAAATCGAATTCTGATATTTATTTTGTTTGAAAAAATAAAGAAATAATTTTTAATGATACAATAAAAACAATGGTACATTAAAAACAATCTTGTTTGTATATTACAGTACATGCATTTATGCTCCATGTCACCATCTACATGTTGTACATGAGCCTCACATGTAAGAACATAATTCAATTAACAACTTAACTTTAAAATTATATATTTTAGAAATTCATTATAAATGGACCAATTTTGATAATGTAACAAAATTGGTAGAATCATGTCAGCATCCAGAATAACATTCTGACTTAGGTTTGGCATAACACTGCTGAAAGGTTGTCTGTTCCTGTTCTACACAAAAGTATCCTGTCCTGTATTTTTGTGTGACTTGTAGTTTTACTTCAATAATCAAATATGTATGTTTAGACATAATAAACTTCATTGCATTATGCTTGCTTTACACTTTGCGATATTCAATAGTGATTTATCTAATGCAGGTATGCACAATGTTTTTAAGATTGCTGTCTAGCCAGTGAGAATTTCAGGAAAAAGTTAGCATTCTAATTAATTTAACATTTATCAATATGAAAACTAAAATCTTTTTTATTCATATATCTTTCAAAACTTTATTACAAAGAAATTTGATTTTGTTAAATAGGAATACTTTGAAAAATATTTTTTTAATGTTTAAATGTTTTATAAAAAAAAAAAAACCTTTTTTGAAAAGGAAAAAACTTTTATTGAAATTCACGATGTAGAACTTTATAATATGGAAGTTTGAGTGTGGTTGAACTGATTCATACAGCTATAAAAAATAGGCAAGAGTTTAGTAGAAGATATAAGACAGTATATTGTTACTATATTATATATCTTCCACTGAGTAGAACTTGGAAATGTGCTTTTTCTTCACAGAAATAATGTATATGGTTATATGTTCAACAATCTAAAGAATCAGTTCTTTCATTTCAAATAACTGAAATTCACTTCCAATTTTATAGAAATGATTTCTTGTTTTCTTTTTTCTATTACCAATTTTAAAAAGTTGAAAAAATATATTATAAAGAAATTATATAAGCCTACTCTCTGCTAAATTTATTACTGTAGTACTCAAAATAGGATATTGCAAATTAAGTGTTGTAAAGGCCTATTATATTTAAAAAATAATAATAATTAAGGTAATGCATTCACAATGTTATTGCTAAATTTATTGTTTAAATGTATCTATTTGATAAAACTTTTTATTTAATATTAAATGAAATAATATTTCTGTAGAAAACATAACATTTTTTAATATTCTGTTCAAATTTGGATAATATACATTTATTTTATTGAACAGTCTGTAGAAGGAAGACAGGTTCAAGAAGTTGTTTCTGCTATTTTCCACACATTATTGTTTCATCGAACGTTAGGAAAAGTAAGTATAAATTATGCTGTTTCTAAACCTAAATTACTTAAATTCTTTGTCATTTTAATTAAATTGCTGTAAATTACTTAGTTTGATTATAAACAAGAAGGAAGTTATTCAGTTGGTACTATTGGTTTTGAAGATGTGCCATGTGATTTTGTAGATTTTACATACGTGAGTAATTTGAAATTTTAATCACTCCATAACTGAATTTCTATTAAATGAGTAATAATATTGTTAAATAACTTTTTACATTATATAAAATTTTAGTTTATTCTGTTAAATATATTAGATGTTTATTACAGGTAAGATGTGCATCTGATGAATTAGATCAAACTTTAATGAAAGAAATTCAAAACTTTAGTGAAACTTTAAGAAATACAGATGGACCCCAAAGTGGACAAGTAAATTTATTTTATTTTTTAATTAAGTTTAATATTTTTTGAGGATATAATGAAAATTTAAAATTAATGATACTTGATTAATGGAATTAATTTGTCCATTATATGTGATTTGTACAGAAAGTATACAAATAGAGAAAATGTTGTAAAATTTCTGTGTAGTTTTAATTTCTTTCTTTAGATAGTTTCTGATACTTTTTTTCTATGGTTTATATTTCAGTTATTGAGTTTACTTACTTTGTAAACAAATAACCACTTGAATAATAATTATTAATAGGACTGTTAAATATAATAATAAAGTCCAAGTTGACAAATATAATAAGCAAATAACCACTTGGCTTTTACATAATTCAAATGTAGATAGATATACTCATTATCATTGGTTGCTTATTATTGCACTTTTCTCATAACTCAGCCAAATTAGTCTTTTCTTTTCATTCTTATGTGTCTAAAACCTAATTTTTTTCCACCCTTCTGTAATTTTCTATGAAGTCTTTCATCTGTTATCTTAGACTTGTTAAAAGTTATAGCTCTTCTTTTTATTTCAAACATTACTCTAGAAAAACTTCATTCATTCATTTTTCCACATGACCAACTTCTTCATTCTCTGAGTCATTACACACTTTTTTACTTTGTGTTTCTGAGATTTCTGAGATGGAATGTGAGAAATTAACAAACTCTGTGGCAAAATTTGTCAGTATTATAAGAATATTATTCTTTTTTGTGTCTAAAGATATAGTAAAATATGTATATTGAACTTATATGTATATCTGAAACTTGTATATGGTGTTACTGTTTGGGGATCTGCTCCAGAATATATACTGATCAAGATTCAAATCATACAAAACAGATTTCTTCCTACAAAAAATGAACTGTGAGTACTTTTGATATGGTTCTGACATATTGTTTTTATAAATAAACAAACAGAATTAGTATCTTGCAAGTAAAAGTTATATCTTTGTCATTGGTATACATACAGCAATAATAATAATACTTTTATAGTCACATGTTGTACACATTATAGACATGATATGAATTATTCCTGAAGTAGAAAAAAGATTATTTCCACAGTATAAATTTGTCAATAAGAAAGACATCGCCAATCTAGTATTGCATAAAATATTGGAAATTATCCTATAGTTACTTCAAAGGAGTTTTTAATATATACAAATTCACATATGCAATCAAGAATGAATATACAGTCGACCCCCTATAATACGGGTTCATATAATGCAGATACGTATATCACGGCGAAAAAATTGTGACTGTATTCGTATAAAGATGCTAAAAGGGACTCATAAAATGCGGTAAAACGTCAGCGCCGACTCATATCACGACAGGATTGGTCGAATCTGGACCAACAGTGGACACGCAGCCAAACTACTTACACGCTACGGAGAGTTTAGGCAGGTAAGTTGTGTTTACTATCGTCTGTACAGTATATAAATTAGGTACTCTAAGTCTAATACAGTACTGGAATTTTATACATTTCTTGTGAAAAAACATTTCTTATTCAACGGCCATAAAAATTATTTCTATTAATGATGTCTCCAAAGTTCAGCGAATTTTTCAAAGAAAAATAACATCAGAAAATGCGCCCGCCGTTTGGTGCACTGCTCCATGATGAAAACAAGCTTAAGCAATGGCGTCGTCGAACGGTGCACACTCAGTAAGTAATCCTACAATTTTTTGTTTATAGCATAGTTTATATGGATTATTCCCAAAAAATTGTGTGTGTTTTGGAAACATTGAGTCAAATTAGTCTAGAATCAATTAATTTTATGGAAGAAAACCTTTCAAACAGCTGTAGTCCCTAAACTTCACACGTGTCGGGCTATGATTGGCTTGTGTATTTAAGGATTCCTACAACGTGAAATTCTTATAAAATGGAACGTATCTACCGCGTTATAGGGAGGTCAACTGTAATCAAATTGAAATAAAATTTACCATGGAAAATTTTCATAAAACAAAATTATCAATGTTTATTTAATTAGAATTAAAAAAAAAAGGAAGGAAAAAAATCAATAACAAGTAAGAAAATATTTTTCATATAAATTGCTTAAATAATTTTGTAATTTTCTTTTTTGCTATTTACAAAGTATTAAACTTAAAGGAAATTTGGAAAAGATATTTTGATCATGATGTCAAATTAAAAAAGAGATTATATAAACAGGTTTCAAGATAGAGGTTACTACACAGTAAATAATAATAGGTTTGATTGGAGGTATGATATTTTATTAATACAACAGCAAGTACTAAATCAAAATTTCACTTGCCTGAATGTTTTCGTCCACATTTCTTTGGATATCACCAGGCTGTAGAATTGGAAATGGAGCCATGCTGTTTGAATTTCCAATTCTACAACCTAATGATGTCCAAAGGAATGTGGACATCATCAAAAATATTCACATAGGTGAAAGTTTTTCTGGATTCTTGGCTTTTGTGTAGATTGATTTAGTACAATTTAACCAGCATTCAGTTGTCTATTACAATAGTAAGTACAGTACAGTACACATCTATATTAGGTATAAATAAAACATTTTTGACATACCTTAACATAAATAATTTGTCAGTAATTTTTCATGCCCAACCAATAAGACACAAATCAAATTTGTAGCCAATCAGAGAAAAACAGCGTTAATTGCAACTATGTATTGTATTGCAAGAGATGTTTCTCAACTACAGTTTGTTATCAAAATGTGATGACTAAGCTTTGAATCTGTAATTGACACTTCAGTCCATAATTTGAGATATAGAGGTTTTGGGAGAAAATTATTTGAGGTAAACATGGAAAATATATTGAATTTAGGCTGAAAATGCAGGGGGGAATACATTTTGAGGCAAAGAGGTTTTCAATATAAACACATTTGAGATAGACTGGTTGAACTGTATGTGTGTAATTTTTTTTTAAAGAGCTGTTGGCAAAAACTTTTGCAGCTCAAGATCTGGCCATAACAACAAATGTCATTAAAACAAACATACAGAAAGTACTAGATGATGCAAGATGCATGCTTTGCAAAGATAAGAATAAAACAGTTGATCATGTGACAGTGGATGTAGTTTATGGATGGAAAATCAGACAAACTAAATACAGAAAGAGACAAAATAAAATTGCCCAAATAATACACTGGTCACTTTGCAAAAAGTACATCAAAGTAGTCAGATAGTGGTATGAACACAACACAGAAATTAATTGAAAATGAACAAATCAAGATACTTTGAGATTTTAGACTACAAACTGACAAACATGAGGATCATAATACATCTGACATCACAGTAGCTAAAAAAGAAAAAAATTATTTAATTAATTGACATTACAATCTCAGGAGATCCAAAGATTGTTGAAAAAGACCAAGAAAAACTGAATAAATACTGAGATTTAGCAATTGAGATAAAACAACTGTAGAACAAAAGCACTAAAGTTATACCAATTGAGATAAAACAACTGTGGAACAAAAGCACTAAAGTTATACCAATTGTAATAGGGGTACCATATCCCCTAGCTTGATGAAATATCTAGAGGAACTTCACATAATGGACTTTTCAACGTTTGATTTACAAAAATCTGCTATCTGTGGAACTTCATGTCTACTATGAAAATATCTGAGGGATACCTAAACCCCAAGATGGTGTTTGTGTTACTTCAGCCAGTACCAGTGTATGGCAGGTGATAGCCCTACTAGTCATATAATAGATAGTCTTCCAGCTTTGGATTTATTGTGTGTAATATATGTGCAATAGTGGCAACAGATACTTCACATATATTTTAATGTTTATAAATTATAAGAAAATTATCTGTAACTTATAATTGTATCATTTCTTTGAATGGACTTCCATTAAAAATATATTTTTAATGGAAAGTATCTGTAACTTACATATTAAAAATATATATTTCTAGAAAAGGATTCTCCAAAAATTGATGCATTTTTTGTAATATTCTATAAATTTTAATTAGATTTCTTTAGAATTCTACCAGAAGAAACGCTTACACTGGCCTTTTGCTCCAGAAAGTATTCCTTGGGAAGTATGGACTGTAAAAATCAATATTATTTCGTTACCTAATGAACATGGTAAATGTTAAATGAAATATTAGTTTTAAAATTCAAAATGTATTAACTTTTATTTCATTTTATTTTTATTTTTTTAGAGAGGCAAATATATAGAGAGAAAGTTGGCGATATGCTCGGTGAAAAAGTAATTGCCATTGCTTCAGCAATGAATCGTAACGAATATGTTCCAAAAATGCCTAATCAGTCAGAACTTGATTTAATTTTTGACACTAGTTACTCAGATGTTCAACCTTATCTCTTCAAGGTAAATTTAGATATTTTCTTTTACCTAAAGAACATTTTGATGGTGGAAAACTTTTATAACTTTTTATTTTTGTGTTTGTAGATCACTTATCATACATCAAGCCCTACAAATTCATCAGTTGTTAGTACGGCAGTGCGGAAATTATTGAAAGATACATTGGGATAAAACAAAGATATATTCAGTTACCACATGGTGGAATTTAATTTATTTTGAATGCATTAATAAAGAAAATTTTTACAAACAATATTTTGCTGTAGATAAAGCTTTCAATGCTTAATACATAAATATTGGACTTATCCAATATAAAAAAATTGATTATAATATTTATTTATATCTGTTGCATTTTTATATTTACATTATATAATTTGTTATATAGTTGAGAAAAAAATAAATTTTCTTAAACATTATTGTGTAAATTTTTCTATTTAAGGATTTGAAAATATACATTAGCATTGTTATATTCTTTAAGAATATTTTCTATTTAATAGATGGAGAAAAGTGTAGCTGTCCAAATGCAACTAAATTTTCTATGCCAATATTTTAGGACTTGTAGAAGTGATTTCTAAAACATTTAGTTCCACAATATATTACTGTAAGCCTTGTTGCATTGTGAATGGTAAAAAGTATATTGTATGCATATGTGCTGTGTGTGATTTATGGGTATAAAACTGTTCACAGACATGGAATGCCATTCATATTATGGCAGATCATCTATGATGGTCATGACTTTGCGGAAACATGTCAACACATTTCTTAGTGTTTCATTTGGTCTTTTGTGCAGCTTAAATTGTTGCACATGTTTTGTCATTTACAGTATCATAGTCTCTTAGCAGAGAGTTTTGGAATTAAATTTTCAGGAATGTCCTGAAATGTTGGCATATAAAATTTGGACTCCTATATATCCCTTTAAATAACATTTAATATGAATACTTTAATTATGATCACCCCATATATTCAAGTCTTATACAAGAAAATATCAGACAGCAATTGAGTCAATATAATATAATAAAGCTAGTTAACTATTTATCTTTTTTCTCAATACTGAACAATTATAAAGATACTTTGGTATGAACTGTTACAGTAAAGATTCTAAAGGGTCTCTGAAGCAACATAGCTACAATTATAATTAGAGATTAGTGATGTAACGAATATTCGGTTACTATTCGGTATTCGGCCTGAGGCCGAATATGCTATTCGTTACAACACTATTAGAGATAGAGATCATCTTTTGTCCATCCAGGGATATAGAGATTTACATGATAAGGAATTCAGTTAGTTTGAAATTCAAAATGAAAATTCTGTCCAAACTGTGATATGTATGTGTTAATTTGTTCATTTAGATCAGGGGTGTCCAACCTCTTTGTTTCTTTGGGCCACATTGGAAGAAGTCATGGAGTTTTGGGCCACAAGTATAATATATATACTTGGGGCCCAAGTATTCAATATATTTTGGCCCAATCCTTAACATTAACATGTCTAGATTATAGTAATAAGCATTAAAACTTTATTACGAATAAGGATATTTTAAAAAATTACTTCTACAGACACTTTCAATTTTTATTTAGAAATAAATTCATTTATTATAAAGGAGATAAACAAAAATTTATTTGAAAAACACAAATATTTGTTTTATTTGGGTCTCTAATTAATAAGAAGTGACAAAACACCATTTTAAAGTGCATTTTTATTCAACTAATATATTTATAAATAATGTGTAACCCAAAAAGTAGCCAATGCATCAAATGATATTTTTTACGCCAAACTAATAAAAGGATAGCCAAATTTGGCGCAAAGTAGCCAAATCTTGCAACAATGGAAGGAGTACTAAATAAAGCTGGAGTTGGGACTCAAATGATTATAGATCCAAAGCAAGAAAAGGAGAGAAAGGACCCAAGATAAAAAAGTGAGGAAAGTTGAAAAATTAAGGGTCAATATTTGCATAACAAAAGGTATATTTAACCTTTCTCATTTAATAAGAAAGAGCTTTATTCCTATATTTAACCTTTCTCATTATCATTTTATCTTTTGGCCTTTCTCTCCTTTCCCCGAATTTGAGTCTATACTCCTTTGAGTCACAACTTCAGCTTTATTTAATATACCTTCCTCATTCACACATTTCCAAGTATTTGAAAATGTTTCCTTTCCAATCAAAATTAAAATATGTATAAAGGTTTACTGCTTTGTGAAACGTCTTTTTTGAATTTGTGCTGTTGAAATAAATATAAAAAAATTAAAAAATCTGTCGGTTTTGTTTACACGTTTATTGGGCCACATTGGAACTTGCCTTGGGCCGCGGGTTGGACACCCCTGATCTAGATCAAAGTGCCTCCATACTATAAGGAAACAATAGACCAAGAACAACTCTAATCTGGGCCATGTTCAGTAATGCAGAACACCTAAGTTAGAATCCTGAGTGGCTTAGTGGACAGAGCTAAAAATGTTCCGAGCATCATCGAATGATTATTCTTAGACAACTGGGCAAAATGGTGGATGAAGTTAAAATTATATTGCAACAACTGTTGCAAACTAACTGGTTGAAAAGGATGAGTAACCAATACAATTATTCAAATGGAAGCTGCATCAGATCGTGATGAAATTAATAAAGCAATTATTAATTGTAATCAACGAAATAGACTGCTATCTTCCATTAAAATGTATTTGGAATCTGTTATATCGACGTATAATTTTACATTTCAAAGTCATTTTAGAATGAGTTAATGATTTAGAATGAGAGAATAACTTTATGATTGTTATAATAAAATACGTTTAGTCCAACATGAGCAGCCATCTTGCAAATCATATGACAAGACAAAAATCACAACATCACTAGAAGTTAGCATAGATAAAAGAAGCTGATTAAACTAGCTAGAATTCTAGCAGTGGGAGGAGTCAAGCAGTAGTTAGGAACGAGTTCAACATCTCAACATAACTAGACTTAGCAAGAATTCTGTGTTATTGAACACGGTCCTGGTCAATCTGGCTTTACTTTTACAGTAACAGATTTTCGAGTGTCACCTTACACATGGAATACCCTTTTTTCTCTTATTTCATAAAATACAGCTGGTTTTCAGGATTGCAAGATTGGGCAATGAGTAGCAGATTGAGATATTTGTATGGCTCTAAGCTACTAGATTTAGATGACTTACTACTTCTTGGATCACTTTAAAAATAATTTGGCTACATTTTGAGGAATTCTGCTTTACTTTTTATAAAACCTATCTGGCAAACTGTGAAGTTCTAACTGGACACCTGCAGTTTATATATACTATTATTAATTAATTAATGAAAATAGCATTCTGTACAAGTAACCTTATTCTGTTTTCTTAATTCATTTCTTCAGTTACATGGCATTTGGCATATATAGAAATGTGTAAATCTCGGATAATTTGAAATTTGATAATTCAAAGTCACGATTATTTCATTCCCTGAATTTCAAACTAACAAGGATTTCCTGTATATATATATAATTTTTAAATCAGTATACAGCTGTCTCTTGATAATCTGACAGGTATGGGACCAAAGGGGTGTTGGATTACCAAAAGTGATTACATATTTAGCATTGTTTTGCTAGCAGTAGCCTACAATATTCCCTACTCCAACTGTTTGAACAGAACTGCTCATGGAAAGTACACAAAATATGTGTCATCGTGTAAGAATTGGGTGGGGAGATTCACGTTGCGACATGCTTCTGTACAAGCAGACAGGTACCTTGACGGGATGTGTGTCAGACTACTGAGCATGTCAGATTACAAAACATTGGACTATCAAGGGACAGCTGTATACAGTAAAACCTCTGATTGTGACACTTCTGTTCATGACAAATTTGGTCTTTTGTAGAATTAATTTCAAAGGAAATGCATCTGTTTTAGCCATTAATGTGACCAGTCAGTCAAAAAGAAAAAAAATAGAGACCATTTCTAACACTTAGTTTGGGATTCCCTAATACTTAAAAGTACTGTACATTCAAGTCAACCAATTAACAATTATCTATTTTTAAAGCATATAATCCTATTGTAAATAACAAAAATTAACTACTATCTGTATTTTTAGTTTTTGTAATTGTAAATAACATAAAACTAAAAATACAAGTAAATGAGCAATTGATCTCATTATTCCTAAAATATGATTTCTCCTGTCCTCTATAAAAGAAAAATCTTTGGATTGGAAGATTGTTACTATAGAGAAATTTTATTTTAATCCTTATTTTGACTTTTATCTTTCCGATGATAAATAAGAAAAGATAACTTTTTCTAGATTTTTTAAAATGTTTTCAAATAAACTTTATTTGCATGAATAATTTTTGTCTGTAGTGTTGTTTATATGATCAGGAAAAAATAATAAGCATTATTAAGGAAAGACTGGTCGACATTCTATTTGTATCAGTTGTCTATTAAACTATTACTAATGTTCACTTAAAGAAAGTAGTAATGATTTTTACATTAGTTTGCCTTGTCTATCCAGTTGTTCCTAGTTAGAATATTATGAAGTGTTTGTTACAATAAAATATCCTAATCTATACAATGTATTTTTAATCTTTATTTTGAATAAAAACTTTATAATAAATTGAAAGAACATCTTGTTTATAAATTTTGTTATAGGCCAAAGTTTATTTTTATTACTTTTTATAAATATATACTTGTATATTAAAGAAGTCTAGTACTTTGGAGAAAGCATACGTCATCCTCAAGTGAAAGCAAAAGAAATCAGGCAGCTAAGTGTTGGCCAGTTACAGATATTATTAGTTAGGATGTATAATGACACCCAAATAAACAAGATGTTCCAATCCATAAAGTGATGAGGTAGGCTGGCGTTTGTCCACCTATACTGGCACAAAACTATGTTCTAATACTCTACCAAATAGTTCTGTAGTATGTTTACCATGCAAGGCATCATCATGGTGCTTGGCTAACCTACTTGCAAGCATTCTGGATGTAGCCCACAATATGCAAACCTAAACACTAACAAACCATGTTTTAAAGAAATTTTGTAGACTGAACACTTGTGCAGAATATTGATCTCTACAGTGAAGGTTGTGGTTTGATAGGTAGTATACACCCATTAATTTTATGAACTGTGTCTTCAGCAAAAAGGACTACAAAAGAGTTTTGTGATGCCCATTCAAACATTAACTTTTGGATGAACCCTTTGAAGGTCAAACCTTGTAGACATGTCTCAACTACTATTATTCTTTCTTTAGTCTCAGCATGCTTCACAAAACCTAGAAAAGAAATTGATCAGTTAGTATTTTCTTTGGATATCAATTGTTTCTTGACTACTTTAACTTTTTCACTACCTTTCTGTTGGTTGCATTACTTATGATTGTTATTGCTTCTATAGCATAATTTGATCTTAAAACATTCAATAGAAAAAATAACAAAACATATCATTGCAACAAACTAAAAGAGAAAGAGAAAACTGCAAACTGTAATTAATAAGAATATTCCAGCTTATTCCTTGGTCTAAGTTCTGGGGGTGCAATTGTATGTATCAGTTAAAGATTACAAATTTTAAAATAAAAAATCAGTCTTTTTAAATTCTCCCATATACTTGAGTTTAGTTAACCACTGATATGAAATTAGCTACTCTCATAGTATCCAGAGTGGGAGAAACTATTTTACAGACCAATTACATCATTAATCAAATTGTTTTTTACATGTCATAATTATGTTTTGTTTAAAATGATGAAATTTAAATCGATATTTGATAGTCTAATAAAAATGGAATTCTGTCTGTTAAGATGTAGAATGTTTATGTACTTGAAAACTTTTCCAAGGTAAATCTGTTATATCCATTTTTTTTATTCTTGCCATAATTTTAGTACTTTTTACAGAGAAATTTTATATAAAAATATTCAGGTACCCAGTGGTGTCTTTCTTATGAAAGGTATCATAGTTGACATTTTAAAAAAAGAAAGTTGCAGTTGGACTATTTGTTTATCAAATTTGCCACAACAGTTCTAAGCATATGCTGACAAAAGTACTTGATGATGCTTGAGAAAAAAGTACTTGAGTAAAAATGATGCATCATTAAAATAGTTTTTCTTATTATATCTCATTAACAATTGTCAGACAAAAATGAATTATCCATCATAGATTAATTAGTATATATGTTTATGCAAACAGAAAATAAAGGTTATAAATCTGAAGTTAAAAACACTTGGAGCCTTCAAAGAACCTACTACAGATACCAATGTTGACTTAAATGCAGAAGCTTGCATACAATAATCATTAATGTAATTATGGATATTACAAAAAGTACTACTTCAGAAATATAAATTTAATTTATTCTATTTATCATTACATTCATCATTACAATTATGGGCAAATTCAATTGGAAGTCAAAAAGTGAAATTTGATTTTTTCACATTTCAATTTAAATGAATGCACAGTGCAGATTAATTTGAATTCAATTTATTTTTTCATATAATTTCCATAATTCCAGTAAATAATATTTCTAAGCATTTTTCACTACAAATAATCACTGCTTACATCATTTGCATCCAATTCGCGAAACATTGTATCACAGTGGCAGTGTTTAATGCCTTACAATTTAATTAACGAATGGAAACGTTTCAAAGCAAAAAGGGTAGAGGGAAAAAAGAGATGAGAATATGTACCATTCCAAAATTACATAATATAAGAGAAAACAAGATAATTATAAAATGTAAATATAATGAGTAGGATAAATTTATACTACATACATACATACATACATACCAAATTCACTTTATAACATAAATAATGGTATTTCACAACCATTTAATTTTTTTTTGTTCGCAGAAGACAATACTTTTGTTAATAATGGAATTGGCAATACTTGATTTTGATGTTGAAAAAATAAAAATAATTTGCAACATCCCTAATCTAATTAAAAAATCTGGAACATTTGAAACAAATTTCACAACTGATGAGAACTTCCCGAATACTGTCATTACTTTTTAAGCAATTATGATATCTACACGATAATACCGTACTCTAAATGGATAAACTACAATACGTAGAAAAAATCAAAAATACATAATTAAATAAATTGGTGTCTCGATATATAATTTATTAAATTCTTTTTTCTTTTGTACTGTTTGTACTTAATGCACTTTGTAACTGCTAATGTTAGCGTTACTAATGTTAAAATTACATTAAATGATTTTAATTCTTATGCAAATGGAAGAAATCTTTTGAGTCTGCATTTAAAATATTCAATAGTATCAATTAAGTATACATATATATATATATATAAATTTTTTCAAGTATTTCCAAGTATATTTTGTTTTCTTTTATGTGATCAAACTATTTTAAATAATAGTCAGAGCACCTTTGATAAAGGTGAGTTCTTTGACAGGATTTCCTGTACTTAGCGTAGATGATGATCAGATTTTTGCTGCACCCATGGCTTCTGAAATGCTCTCTTCGTAATTATTGCTGGTATCCCACCGTATGTCTGCGTTCCAAGGGTACAAGCTAGAAGAATTTCTCTCTTGTTGTGGAGGTGGAGAGGGACAAGTGGGTTGTTCCACTGTGGGCCCAATTGCCCTCTGCCTCTGGATGACTGCTGCTTGACTACTATATCGATTATCCTCTTCATATGGGTTTCCAGTCAGAGGATGATAGTGTTCAGGAGTATAAGGTGGAGGTGGATCTTCTGGAAGAAAAAAATATTATAAAAATGTCCACAATCTTAATTACTAAATGAGAGTAAATAGATTTACCTAAACTGGTAGCTACAAGTCTGTAGTTTAGTTGTTGATATTGTTGTACCTTATCACGCGCTTTAACTACGGCATGTTTAGTCATTCCCGTACCTAAAACAAATTACACTTGAAATAAATGACAGTAAAAAGTACTCAAATAACTAAAATGATATAATAACCTGTATATTTGATTTCATGTAAATCTCTTCCATGTACATCAGGTAACTGGTGAGAAATTTCCTGCAAGAATAAACAAAAAATAAATAACATTTCCCCCATATTTATTTTATGAGAATATCATCTGATTTATTAAATTGTAAATTACAAATATAAGATTTGAATTATTATTATTATTTTGTATTTGAATACAAATTAATAAATTTACTCACTCGTTGGGCCTCAAAGATAATTGCACTTTTATTAGCCAATTCTATGTAAGCATCTGACAGTTTCAACAGACCATCCTTCAATCTGATGAGTTTAATAGCTTCATTTTCATACACTCGTTCCACCACTAATAACCAGTTTCAAAATTAAAAATATTAATATATATAAATAAAATTTACTGAAGCTACAAAATTGCTGTGTTCCATCATTACAAACACTAGTGACTTCCAAAAACAATTTCAGTTATGGAGACAACAATGTAACTCCATAACTGTTTTGTTTCCATAATTGAAAATTGTTTGGTGTTTGTAATGACAGAACACAAAGACAATTTTGTAGCTTCAGTAAATTTTATTTATATATTTTAATGTAAATACCATTTTTAAAAATATTAACATATAACATGCAAAATTGGTAAGAATTTTACCTTCTAACTGGGCTAAATCTTTTGCTCTTTCTGCCTGCGACAGTTTTATTTCCAAATTATTTATTTCATCATCTGTGGCTTTCTATAAATTTTAAAAGCAAGTTTTATCTATAGGTATACAACTTAAATCATTGAGTATTATTATTTCTTTTTTACCTTTGCTGCTCTTTTCAGTTCTTTCCTGATTTTCAATTCTCTTTGTTCACAAGCCAACTATAAGAAAACTATAATGTTAACTATTTATTTATCTAAAACAAATCTTTTTTCTGAATGAAGAATATATTNAGTTAACTATTTATCTTTTTTCTCAATACTGAACAATTATAAAGATACTTTGGTATGAACTGTTACAGTAAAGATTCTAAAGGGTCTCTGAAGCAACATAGCTACAATTATAATTAGAGATTAGTGATGTAACGAATATTCGGTTACTATTCGGTATTCGACCTATTTTTCACTATTCGGCCGAATACCGAATACCTAAAAGCAGGAGTAATAAATAACAAAAACACAGTAAATTAATCATTTTGTTATTTAGATTTAAATGTTATCGAGTTAGTGTTGTTTGTTTATATTTATTTATAACTTGTAACATGCACAAAATAAAAATGAAAATAATATTAGTCACATGTATTCACAATTTTTAATTACAAAGATCAGCATACGTACTGTACACGTCTATTGTTGGAGAATCCTCGCACATCTGAGGGTCTGACCCTGCCTATCCTTCTTTTTAAGCGCTCGTGTCTGCTCTTCCCTTTCTCTTTCCTCTATCGTTCTAATCCACGTATGCCTGTGCATACATCATAATACATGCTCACGATACTTTCGATTCATCACTTTTCCGTCGTAGAGTTCCCATTTTACAATTACGTGACTTATAGCCTGTTGATAACGGAGAAAAGAGACAGATAGGACGTCAGTATAAGTCACAATTATAATTTCACAGATTCCAGACAGCTTGATAGCCCGAACGGCCCCAGGCTTTCGCCCGTGCACGCTAAGTGACTTTCATTACAAGCATTTAGCTTTCCGAAGTCTATGACAACAATTGTTTGGCATTGACGGGCGCAAATTTCGTGCCAATAAGCTGCCTCGACTTGTTCGATTATGTTATCAACTCAATTTCATATTTATTTTCACATTTTCACTTCGCGGTCCTTCTCTGTTCTTTTTCCGTTATTTACA